ATCGATCGGTTCGTCGGACCATCTGAAAGAACGCAAGAATTCTAGAAAGTATTACAGCTAGAATAACCGTACATGGTACTCATATTCCCCTTAGCCACAGGCAGATCGAATTTGTGTCTATTTTTCTGATGCACCTTTAGACATGAATGTTGTGTCTGCCAGATGTTTAGATCTGGAAATTATGCTTAATGGTGGAAAAAGCACAGACCCATAAACCCACAACTAGTCCTTTTAAGTGAGACTTAGTGTTAATAAACTGCAGTAACAGATGAAACTCATTGTTCTTGGGCAAGTTGTTTGCAATTTATAGTAAATCTAGAGCTGACTACCTTTATTGCCAAAGAAAAACTGTTATAAAATTGCAAATTTATTGCAATTCCAATTCAGTTGCTCCTATTGAGAGCAGTCGATATGCCTAAAATTAAATTCTTTGTTGTCCTCTTCGAAGTCATAATTCATATTACAAATATGGAATACCCATATTTTCTCTTTCTTGCATTATTTAATAAACCCGAGATGTTCGGTTGTTTATCAAAATATTTTTGTACATTTCCTCGATGGTTTGCAATACATTGGAAAATAATTGATGAAAATATTGTGATAACTCTGGGATTGTTGTCGCTCTACTGCGTTGTACTTTTCTTCTTATTGCTGTCCCTTTTGAGATTTAACTTTGCAACTGAGAAAATGTCGTTTTGCCTGCAAAAACTCTGCACAACATTAAGTGACCTGTAAGCAAGGCAACCACAAATTGCTTCTGCCCCAATGGCCAACCCATCCACCCATCCACACACAAACACACACCCCTGCCAAGTCATCCAGCCAGCCTTTGGATCTCCTTTCAACTTTGATATTGATGGCGAGGTATGCGATGCAGGAGTCGAGCAAAATGCACATAGACTTAGATAGGATTTTATTTTCCCAACCTTTGTAGTCAGCGTGTTTGTGTGTGTGTGTGCGTTTGTATTTGTGCTTACATTTTGCTGCAAATTTAATTTCGTTCAATTAAAAAATACCAACAGACGGCAATAAAATTTGCATGTGCCAAAAGTTTGACAGTGATTGGGAATTATAAGCTGTCAGATGCACGCTTCAATTTGCTAAGAATTTTGATATTCGTACACTCAACAAAAATTGGGCTCGAAATTAAAAAATGTTGCCACTCATAAGGTATTCCAGTTTTGACAAAATTAAAAAATATATGATCAGATTGAGAAAAACATGATCAACTGCCTGTATGTATAGATAATAATACTAAACATATTGTGTAGACCTATCTTATTCTTTTGCAGGCTAAGTTTATTCCAAACCATATATAGACACATTATTGTATGAACGTTAAATGGACAAGTCTCTTAGTAGGAAAAAAATATTTGTGTTTCATCCATTTTAAGAAACTTAGTCCTTATATTTTTTTAACAATGTCTGATAATTTGTTCTGGTAATTTTAAAAAAGTATCTATCGAAACGAATTGAAATATTTAGATACAATAAATGTAACAAATTGCAGATCCATAATAATAAATATTATTTTCTGTAGTGGCTTTATAAGTGGTATACAAATTTAAAGAAGGGCTAGCAAGATTCGTATGTTTAGTAAACGTATAGTATAGTTCCTACAACAAACGAGTTTTCAAACAACGCAGTCTACCCTAATATTGTTGATCGTGTTTTTTCTCCAAGTGTACACACACTTGCTATGGGATATGTAGAGCCATGTTATTAGAATTTCGTGCACATAAATTATGTAAAATTCCAAATATTTGCTGTCTCTGGTGAAAGTGTTGAATGTTTGTGGTCCGCCTTTTAGGAAAACTTTTGCCTATGCTTCAGATGTTGTTGTTGTTGTTATTATTATTATGTTGCTGCTGCTGTTGCTGTTGTTCTATCTGCTGTTATCTAACGCCAGTAAATGGTGGAAAACAGTTTTTGTTCTTCTTCCTGTTATTGTTGTTCTTGCTGCTGCTGCTGCTGCCGCTACTGCTGCTGCTGATATGGCTGTTGGCAGTTTGTTGCACACATTAAGTATAGTTTGTAGTTAACAGTTGCTGGGCAAAGCAAAAACTTTTAATTTGTGCGTAGAAAGTAAATGAAAAATGGCGTTAACAAAGTTAACTCACAAAGCAAATGCAGATGCCGATGCCGATGCGGATGCGTCGCCATCGTTGCTGTTGCTTTTGTTTTTGCTTTGGGTGCAACAGAGGTGGCAAGAACGCATCAAGTAGCTGCAGGATGAGTCTTAAGGAGTTGCGAGACAACTTGGTACCGTATTAACATGCCTTTCATGCCCTTACGCAAAGTTCGCGGTGTTAATTATGCCAAAGTCTAAAGATTCCACAAAGGTGTAAAGGCAAATAGTTTCAAAAGACTGGTTTTTCCTCATTTTGTTGCTTGCATTAAGAAGTTAAGTATCCAAATATAGATATATATACTGAATGGTTAGAAATTAAGGGATTTACTATTTAAAACCTGTCTTCATATTGTAATACCTTGGTCTTATCAAAAACATCATCATCTTCAATGCCTTTCACTATCCATATTCCGTCATTTGACTGTCATCTTAAATGTAATGCTTTACCTCTGATGTTAACAGCCAACGAATCTACAACTTCATCCTTATCAACAATTTTATAATCTTCAAAGACACACTATTGGGTCTATGACTGTTTTCGAAAATGTAGCCAACGAATCTAAACTTCATCATCTTTATCAACGATTTCATAATCTTCAACGAAACACAATTGGGTCAGATTAATACGCTAATCGCACAAAAAACTTCTTTTTTGAGTGTTATCTAAAATGGAGGCAACGAATCTACAACTTCATTATCTTTACCAACGATTTTATAATCTTCAAAGAAACACAATTGGATTAGATGATTCAATGGATGATGATGGATTAATCGCACAAATAGGTTCCAAAAAATTTAATTACATTGCCAACTATGCATAGTCTTCACCCACTTTATTCTGTATAATAAATAAATAAATATTGAGATCTAGTAAGATATTATGATCCAGTTAAATACGAAAACATAAAAGTGGTTTATGTTGAAGCAAAAGTGTTTAAATTTTGTTAAATGGAATTGAATGGCCATAACTATATTAACTGTATTTGCTGCATTTAAGTATGTAATGTATATAGCATGTCTGGTTAATTGATAAGCATATCAAAGGAAACTCTGCTGGTCACTTAAGAAGCATAGTTGGTAGTTGATGCCAGTTTTGCAAAACCGCATCTTTCATCTGCCCAGACCAGTTGCCTTGTTTAGAACATACTATACATATGTATGTATGTATGTATGTATGTATGTATGTATGTATGTATTTGTAAGAAGGTATGTGCATGTAGATGTATTGTAACTTGTTTATGAGCGCTCAGTGCCAACATGGATGGGCATTTGTGAAGTTTGCAAATAAACCACAACATTGCTGCAATGACAGTAAACAAATGCCAAAGTTTGGCATTGCCTACAGAAAAAGTTTACGCTATCACAGCTTTTTGGTATTTTGTTTGGTTTTTATTAAAAAAATTTTATAGAATGGAATGCACGATAAAAGAAACGAAATTTCAATTAGTGGCCTTCTGTCTGCGACAGAAACGAATGGAAAGAGGCAGAGGCAGAAAGAAGCCTCTCGAACTCGAACTCGGCTTAAAGTTGACAATTAAAAAGTTTGACGCATTGTTGTTGTTGCTGTTGATTTTTTGCTTTATGTTGTTGACGCTTTTGTTGTTGTAGCTGCTTGTTGCCTGTTGTTTCTGCTGTTTAAATGAGTTTTTCGTCAACAAAGTGGAGCGCGCAGACAGACAAGCGTAAAAAAAGTTTGTAACATGTCCCAAAAGCAACTGCGCAAATTAGTTTAGTTTTTAATTTAGTGTGATTTAAAATTATTCTCCTCCAAATTGAAAAAGGGTGTACCTATAAGCACCATAAGTCAGAGGAAAGTGTGCCAGACCCGTCTGTATGAAGACCGAAAGCTTTTGAATCGTAAAAGCTTGGGACACCAAACATTGTACTATAGATCTGTTTTATCCATACGCAAAGCAAGCTTATTACAAACCATATAAGATATATACCTATAAGTGTATATAAAGGTCACATAAGTAGAAGTACTTAGATATCTATTCTTATAGTGCCTCACTATAAAATAAGGAGTTTCATTAAAGTCGGCTACCTATAGTAGTATCATAGAACTGCAATAGGATCAATCGGTGCTACAATCATGGTTACTACCAAACTCTTGCTTCTTAATTGCGATAATCCAATTAAGTATTTATAAGTCAAATAGATATCATACTGCAATAGAATCAATCGGTGCTACAATCATCCTTACTACCAAACTCTTGCTTCTTAATTACGATAATCCAATTCAGTATTTATAAGTCAAATAGGTACTATATTCATCTGCCCCATGGCACCGTTCCCAGCCACAGAGTATATATTAGTTGTACCGGACCGCAGCGGAGAGCGGAACGAATACAGGCTAGGGCCGGGCTTTATCGCTCTACTCGTTTATTCTTCTTTTTTGCTCAGTTCACAGTTTGGCGAAAAGTTGGCGTACACATATTTTACGGCTGGCATGTGTTTTTGACTAGTTTGCAAATTAAAATTCTTTCAACAAGTTGTCGCAAAATACACACACACACATACTCTTTCACACACACATGCACATATGTATATGTTGTGTGTGTGTGCGCGCGAGCGAGCGAGGCAAAGCTGCTCTTTAATCAAATTAAAGTAACATTTCACGTACTTTTTTGTGCGCCAAAGCCTGTTTAAGCCGCGACGCTGGCAGCGGCGTCAACGGCAACTGCGGCAATGTGTGGGCGACGGCGGCGACTGAAGGTGGCACAAACACGCCAAATTACAAAGAGCCACAGACGAATGGGCGATGAAACGAGTCAAAGCCAGAATAACAAGACATGAGAGGAGTGCACAGAGAGACAACACAAACACAGACACACACATGTGCATACATACATATGTACGATTTGCTTACTTGATGCGCTGCTTGCGTCGCCTTGCCGTTGGTTTTGTTGTTGTTGGCTTCTCCCTCTCTTCTTCTTTTAGACAACGCGCGCGCTGAGTTTTCAAAACTGGTTTTTTGCTTTTTTAGCTTATTGCCTTCTTGCTAGCATAAGTACACGCTCACGCACACACACAATCACAAGCTCATACAAATGCATGTACATGTATTGTTGTATATTTTCAATATTTGTATGGTTGTTGTTATGGCTTTTGTTGCGAAATACTTGTTGTTGTTGTTGCTGCTGCTGCTGCTGCTGCTGTTCTGTGCACTCTTCATTTACTTTTAGCTCATACTATACAAAAGGCATTTAATTAGCGGCAAACAACAAAAGCACACAATATGTACTCATAATGCAAATAAAACACACACGCACACGCACTTACACACAAATACTTGTAAACAAACGGAACTGTGCAGTCAAAAGCAGTACAATGCTGATTACAATGACAAATAACCTGTGCGCATCACTACTTCATTTCTTTAGCATTTCACACTTTGGTGTTGTTCGTCGTTGGCCGCCAGCGACGGTAAAACACGTCCAAAATGCACAAGAGCGTCACTCACAACACGTCCACACGCCACGAAGTTAGTAAACAAACTGAGCGAACGTGTCGCGCCGTCTCTGTCGCTGCTTCTGCTGCTTCTACTGTTTCTTCTTTTGCTGCTGCTGCTGCTGCTGCTGCCTTTGCCGGCAAACAACACGAACGAACATTGTTGTGTATGGAAGCTCGTTTTGAGTTCGCTTGCATGTGTGAGTGGGTGGTGTGTGGGCTGGTTATGAGTAAGCGCGCAACCAGCGCACAGTGGGGCTGGCTATGCAAGAACCGGTACGTGAGGATATTATACTTTAATGTGATAAAAGGTGATAAATAAAATAACAATTACAAAACTACAAGTTTAAGCGAGCTTCAAGATTTAAATAAAGATGTTAAGTGAAGAGACGCATGTTTTCGTTTTAGAATTCGATTAAATTGTACGGTATCAAAATTAGTAAATGTTGCGTATTTGTTCAAAAGGAGCGAGCGAACTTACTCTATAATTTTTCGGAATTCAACGAATAACCCATTTTTGATATCGCATACTATGTTTGAACTCCGAATATGACCCTTCCCTAAATAGTAAAAGTGTATTTTACCATTTTAAAGTATTATCTGGAATAAGAGCTTTTAAATTTAAAGCTGATGGGTATGGGGTATGCAAGTGTTGGGGTTATTCTTAATATAAATTAACATAACAATGTTTGTACATCGCATAAATCAAACCGTTACCACTGTGATCTTAGGAACTATTCAGTCAGTCCTCGCACAACCACTTTGCTTCAAACATGTTCGACGATATGTTATTTGCACATGCACCGTTAGTGGCTTTGGAAACGTGCTGCAACTGCAACTTGTGCTGAAATTGTTGTTGTTGGCTTTGACTTTGTCATGCTGACGATTTCGTTTTTTTCTGCTTAACATTTTCTTTTCTTTATACCCTGCACTGAATCGTGCAGTATAAGGGCTTGTTGTTTTTGATGTGTAGGTTTGTGACACCCAAAAGAAAAGTGGTACAAATGATTTTTTGGCACATATGTACATACTTAAACGCCCTTCTATCGATTTCAATCTTTAGAGCTAGGAGCAAGAAGGATTTTAAAAACAGTTTCTGTATTAAGCAGATTTTTTTTTAATGGGTATATATATTGGAACTGCATATTAAGCAATTTGATTATATTTGAAATCAGTTAAAAATAATCTTTAAAACAAATTTACATAATACGGACGACAGTAGGGCCAAGAAGCAAAAAGTTTCTGTTGTAAGGCACAGTAAAGGGTATTTAGCTTGGGTGCATCTGCAGGGAACTTCTTAGCTCGTTTATTTTCTTTTTGATTTTGTGTTAATTTCTTGTGCTGCCGGCTGTCACGCTGTTGTTGTAGTTGTTGTTGTTGCTATAGCTGCTCAGCGCGTTGAGTCAATTTTAAGGTTTATTTGAATCTCATTTTTAGTTTTTCGTCAATTTTATATTTTTTTTTTGCTGCTGCTGCTATTGGTGCCAACGTTGTCGTTTCTGTTTCTGTCGCTGTCGCTGCCTATGGTATTGTTGTTCTTGTTGTTGTTGTTATTGTTGTCGCCATACATACGTAAATTTTTGTCGGTGTTTGGCCTTTTTCTCGATTTTCAACGTTATTTTTAGTGGGAGACGCAGCGTTGACAATTTTTTTATGTAAATTGCTCTTAAGCATATTTCAAGCGCTTTCATCTTGGACCTATGAGTCCCCTCCCCTCCCCCTTGATTCCCCTACCATATGCTAATGAGCATGTTGTGTGCTTGTGCATAATAAGCGCTTTAAAGTAGACTTATTGAAAATCTGTTTATACACTCTTCAATATTCACACAAACATACATACATACTAAGTGTGTATATAAGTACATATGTATGTACGTGTGTTTGTTTATTTGTTTCTATGCCTGACCAGTCAGATTTGGTCGCTATAGTATGTCTGCCTGTTGCGCCAACATTTGTTTGTGCAAACTAATAACAAATTAATTTTCATTTGAATTATGCGAGCTTTGCTTCTCGCTCTCACACACACACACACACACATGCACACCAACTCGTCTCGTAGATTTGCGTGTCTGTATGTTTATAGAGAGAATGTTTTGCATTTAGGCTAACGATAAAGTGATTTGTGCATGAAATTTGCCATAATTTGCAAAGAGCCAATATGCAATTATGCAACATTACGCATACGCAGCGTGTGCCACAATACACTTGAAAAATATTTGCAATATTTATTGCTCCAGCACAGAGTCCCTGAAATGCCCGACAATCAAAAGTGTTTTCAGTTTTTTTTTATGATTAGTCCGTGATTATTCTGGCACTAGCCATCTGTAGATTTTATGGAGAAGACATCTTTAATAGCGTTGCCAAATCGGGTCTCACAAGTGGTACACATTTTTATCATAGGTACACCATTTTTGTTTTTTAGTGTGTGAGGCAATGGCCCGAACAGCTGCTAAGGGAAAGTCTGATTGGTTTGTTGTGGAAATGAAACTTCATTATGCATATTCCCTTTACTTGCAATTTTTTTGTACGTACAAGCCCCAAGAAGTTTGTAACGATAACAAACTTGGAATGTAGACTAGTGTTATCCATGCACAGATCAAAATTCTAGAATTCTATATTTTATATCTGTCATTGAACCAGTTGGCATAACAGTTAATCAATGTACCAAAGCCAGTTTCTTACTATAATCTAAAACTTACATCAAAATCGGCTTACTATATCATATAGCTGCCAAAGCAATAAGCAGTACAGTAGTCAAGCTTGTAGTAAAAACTTTTTTGAGTTCTAAAGATTTCTGAGAATAAATTTCGTATCTATGTATAGTGGCTCTTCATAGTGCGAAATCGAATATATATACATATGTATGAATAATTAAATAAAATAAACAATTCCCATACAGGTGCTGTTACTCCAACAACTACTTACTACTACTACTACACCCATTACAGTTCCGCTGCTGCTATATATGTTTACTTCCTCTACTACCTTAACTACTACCTTCCCTACTACCTTTCCTACTACCTTCTCTTCCGCCTTTCCTACTAACTTCCCTACTATCAGTTCTAATAGCTCTAATAGTTTATAAATACCACTTCCTCCTGACCTACTGCTACTACTTATTTATTTTATAAATGTTTCAATTATTTAAAATTTGCGCCCTAACCACCCGAGAAAACTCTACAACTGACAGGTCTCCCCTGCGAGAAAGACATCATCACATACCAGAAATAGTTTAAATAACTGAGTCTTATGTGCTTACTAATTTATGTGTCGTTAGGGAATGCCTGGCAGTTGATGGACTTTGAAAAAAATATATGAGAAAAAATCTTTTGAAACTAAATGATGAAATTTTTTAAATTCTGCTGGACATATTAACGAAAACTAGCAATACAATAATAACAAATATATGTTTTTATTTTTAATAATTTGGTCAATTTTTTCTACCTGTTTCGAATCAAAAATTTGAAAGTTTACCAACAGTATTCCTCAGGGGATTTCCTAAACATAAAACTGCTTACAGGGATATTTAAATTGAATATTATTTCAAATGTATTTTAATTAATCATTTTTAAAGTTTCTATCGATTCAATAGAATAGAAACCTATATAGCCGGTTTCCTCTGAGTGTAGAATATTGTAATTGTATGTCGGCATTTGTTGAAATATGTAATTAAAGCTGAAACATTTATGAGCCCATCAAGTGGAGAGCTCACAGAGGGGCTGTCAGAGACAGTGCAACTAAGTGTGTGCGGGTGTGTCTAAGTGTGTGCATCGACATGCGGGTCTGATTGATGCAACAGAAGGTTGAAAGCCAGTGGGAAACGCTGGCATTCGGTGGCAAATTGTGAAAAACGCGTTGCCTATGACAGCTTAGTCGTACTGGTATCAGCCGTTTGATTTGTACCTTTGACCCGCCTGCCTGGTTGCCACCCTGCCACCTGCCCGGGTGGCCGTGTGCCTGCATGCGTGCATCAGGCAGTGGATGCCTCAAGGCTTCAATTGAGCGCAATCAGCACAAAGACAACAGCCACAAGAATTGGCCAGGATTGCTCGCAAGCGGAGTGCGCTTGCTGGTACTTTTTCGAGCGCTCCGCAACACCGTTAATGATGATGACGATGCCACACACTGTGGCGGTTTTACACATACACAACTCTCTCTCTCTCACAAACATACACACGCACACACACACATGGATGCACGCCTCACGTGTGTGCAACAAACGCAGTCATGCAGCTTGATTGCCACAGACAATGGCAATGACTGCACAAAACTTAAATGCCAAATACTCGTACAAGGAAAGTTGGTACCAAAAGCAGGAAATTATATAAAAAGTTGACAAAATGTTGGCTCCTTTAAATGCTTTAAGGAATGCTGACAAATGAAGTAAGCTCTCCATTTACCATATTTGTAGGACAATTATTCATTTGATAATTAGGAAGGTATTTATCTTTAATTCCAGGGACGAATCAGTTCTGCAATTCATTTATATGGTGGCGAGTGGAGAAAATATATTTGCAAATTAAAAAATAATAAAATAAAATTGTAATTCCCCTCCAAACAGCTATGCTCAGATTCACACCCAAATAAATAAAATAAGCCAAGTTTTTAAAAGAATAAAAAAAGAATAAAAAAAGAAAACAAAAAAACAAAAATGATTTATAAAAAATTAAAATATACATCAGTAATTGTGAGTCAACTAAATAAAATAAATAATAAGAATATAGATAGTCTCTGGGCTGGTAGGGAAAGATTTATAAGCCAGGCGTACAAAGTATTGTTTTTGAAATGAAGGAAAGAAATCTTGTAAAAAATTGTCAATTAAATTAATGGTTTCTTTAGATCCCAACTGAGCCAGCACCCTAAGCATTTTAAACCTTTAAAAATTACTACCAGTAAGTACACACATACATACAGGGTGCGCCATCTTTTATGTCGGTATGTAGATATTGAATAACTTTGTCATTAGTGAGCCGATTGACTTGAGTAGACCAGTGTTGAAA